GTTTCTAAGGAAATAGAGTCTGGTGCTTTTATTTATTTCAACAAAGGGTTTGGAGATTAAATGTTTCCAGAGCTCTTTTGCAGCAGTGACTGAAAGACAGATTTCTGGGAATGTAGGGAGATTACAGAATTGTGTGTGTGTGTGTGTGTGTGTGTGTGTGTGTGTGTGTGTGTGTGTGTGTGTGTGTTGCCCACACACATGTACCAGTACTGGACTTGAACTTGGGGCTTTGTCTTCTTGTTTGGTTTTTTCACTCAAGGTTGGCACCTTTCCACTTGTGCCATTCTTCCACTTCTGACTTTTTTGTGGTTAGTTGAAGCTAAAAGTCTCATGGACTTTCCTACCCAGATTAGCTTTGAATCATGATCCTCAAATCTCAGCCTCCTGAATAGCTAGCATTTTAAACATGAGCCACCGGTGCCTGGTGAGGGTGTAGAATTTTTATTGTGAAATACGGTGACCTGAGTTGGGTGTTCTCAAAGAAAGGAAGATACCCTAATTGTAATATGGTTCTGTAGAACCATATTCTGAGTCTTAGCTTCGATAGCTCAGCTGGGGAAGTTGGAAAGAGAAGTGTGGTGGAAAAAAAAATCTAAGTTGACTTTGGAAATTATAAGTTAGAGAAATGGGTGTAGAGTCAAAAGGAAGACTGAAAAATAACTTAGCTCTCAATTATTAAGTCCTACAAAGGCAATTTTAAGCAAAGGCTTCTCCTTGGACTCAATGAGAGACTGGTGTCTGGAGATCCTCCCCAAATTTAAATACTACCAGTTTAAATCCCGACTTATTTAAAATGCAGAGTCCTGCCAGGCATCAATAGCTCATGCCTGTAATTCTAGCTCCCCAGGAGGTTGATATCTTGGTTGTTCAAAGCCAGGCCAGGCAATTGAATCCAAGAGATTCTTATTTCCAACACACCAGGAAAACTCCACAGCTAGGGCTGTGGCTCAAGTGGCAGAGAGTGCCAACCTTCAGGGGACAAAATCAAGAGAATGTGTGAAGCCACGAGTCCAAGCCTCAGTATCTTTGTTAAATTAACAAACAAAATATAGAGCCTCACAGAATTCCATGACTATAAAGCACATCTTGTCATATTAGACATGCTAGCCTTTGTAAGTGTGGGAGCTGGACTGGTAGGCTAGGTTGGATATGAGCAGAATGTAGATTGGGCAATTGGGTCCTATGGAAAATATAGCAAGCCATACTTTGATCTCTGTATGGTGATGTTGGGTTTCACCTGCCAGACAGACGACCAATGTGCTTTCGGAACTCAGGCTGATGGGAACAGGTGCTCTTAGAAGCCAGAAAATGCCTGAGTTCCCTAACCCGTGGGCTCAGGGGGCTGAAGTCTCTTTCTCTGGCAGGTAAGGAGCTGAAGAATCAATAGTAGACTCTGTTGGCATCTTGGTATGAAAAGAGGAGAGTCTGGGAGGAAGACAGTGGAGAAGGTGATGAGCAATGTGATAAAGGCTTCTGCCTTGTTGGTGGACTTGTTTCTTCTCACTCTCAGAACCTGCCTTCTTTGTGTTCATCCATCTGGAATGTGTGGTTATTCATCAAGGCTCTCTAGAGGGATAGCACCAATAGAATATACATATGGTGGCCTATGTGTTTGGAGGCTGGGTGGGTCTCTGTGGGCTGAAGAGCCAGAGAACCTGCTAGCTGCTCAGTCTAGGAAGCTGGAAGCCTCAAAACCAGGGTGACCAGTGAGGATGTGGAAGGCTTGGGACCTCCCTGGAGAGTGACTGGGGTGTAGTCCCACCGAAAGACTGATGAAATTGAACTCTGATATCCAATGGGAAATGACAGCAGCAATAAACATTCATGAAGCATGGCGCTTGTACACACCAGATGACTTTCTCTTCTGTTTTTCCTCCATCCTGGCCTCTTGGATGATGCTGTCCTTATTCAAGGGAGAGGTCTTTTCCCGTTTAGTTGCTGTTGTCCCGCCTGCCTGTCATCTCTGGCAATGCCTTCACAGATACACCAAAGAGAGTGCTTTACTAACCTCCTGCTTTACCATCTCTCAGCCCAGTGAAGCTGGCTGTTTTAATGTGATGGTATATATAAGTAGAGTGGCTTAAACAACAAGCATGTATTTCTTATAGTTCTAGAGGCTGGCTGGATGTTCAAGACCAAGGAACTGGAAGATGGGGTCCCTGCTTAGGGCTATCTTCCTGGTTGACAGAGGATACCAACTTGGAAAGGAGAGGGCAACTCTCTGGGGCCTCTCTTAAAGGGCCACTAATCCAATGGATGATGGTTCTACTCTCTACCTCCATCCCAGGTTCTGTCTCCTGATACTGTCTCTTTGGGAGTTAGAGTTTCGACATGGATTTGGGGGAAGGGCACAAATATTCAGACCATGGCTTGTTTCAACCTTCCTAGGGCTCTGTTCAGATTCATGCCTTCCTCTCAGCTTCTAGAATGTCACCTGGTTGGAAGAGCAGGATCCATACCTGTACTACTATCCTCACGAAGTTCAAAACTATGGAGTGAGAAGACCTGAGAGGGAAACATTCTGTTGACTTAGTCAACCAGGAAGAAGATCAGAGCTTTAACACCATACTGAAGCAAAAGAATGGCACTGAAAGAAAGGCTCACACTGACTCTGATTTTCCTCTTGCCTACGGGAGCTTATGACACCAGGGCCAGCTCTTTTCACACAGTCTTATCCAAGTTCAGACTTCGCAGGGCAAGGGAAGCTAGAGGCAGAGGGCCAAAGTGGCAAGTTTCTAGCCTGAAATGGGGACAGGGAGTTCCTGAACGGAAAGGCCACATGACTGGGGCCTTCTCATTAGCAGATTCTGCAGAGATCCCTTCCTTCTGAATAGGCAGGAGGAAAGCAAAAGCTGTGCCCCAGGGTTTGTGCCAAGTGGCTTTTGTGATGGATGTGGAGTGGATCCTTAGAGGAAGTTTCCACATTGGGTCAAACTGTGCTCGATTGTCAAGCTGGTCACATGAGCGTCTCCTCTGTTCGGTTCTGTAGCTCTCACAAATTGGTTGTGTCCCAGGATGGCCAATGCGCTACAGTGGAGAATTGTGACATGGAGACAGCAATGGCAGTAGCATCTTTGTGGGTTAACTAATATAAAATGCGATTTTGCTGTTTGGGGGGGGGGGGGTCATGCACAGAGGTCATGTGATTCAGTCACTGCCAAGGACAGCAAGACTAAGACCAGAACCTGTCCTCATCTACTCCCGGTCTTTGCATTTTTTAAAGAGGAGAAATGGACTTCTGATAGGGAAAAAAAACTCAACAATACACCTAAACTTGGACCTATTTGCATTTAGCCACTCTTATCAGCTAAGAGCAGTCTGGTAGTGTGTGAGAAAGGGTGAAACTTCAAAAAGAACCGAAACAACAAGAAATAGCATCTGCAAGTATAAATTTGGCTTTTTGCTCTGCACTTAGAGACATTTTGTCCTTTCTCTAATCCCTTTCTTTGTGCTGCCTGATGAGTTTGCCTGGACTGAAAATATTCAAATGGTTACCACCTATGTGATCGCTTATGGTTGCAAAGCAAGGTAAGATAGTGTGCATATCCCAACCCCTGGGTAATGTTTCTTTTCTTTTTTCTGTTTGCACTGCCTAAATCTGCTGTGCTGGTCCTCTTGTTGTCATAGTAAGTGGATTTCATAATACTTAATCCAGCCAGACACAAGAAGCCAGATAGTTTAGCAGCAGCCAGCAGCAAGAATTGGGGTCTGGGTTTTAAAGGATAGACGAAGATAGGAACCATCCTACCAGTGACTGTTGGGAAAAAAAAATCAGACCTTCTAGAAAGATCTAGACCAGACCTTGATGGAAAGACAGAAGCCAACCTGGAAACTGACAATTCCATTATCCATGCCAGAGGAAAGGAACAAGAACTGATTTGGGATTCAGGGATTATTCCTAAATAGGTAAATGTCTCACTGCCTTCCCAGTCAGTTTTCAATTTGTACAAATGTTGGCCATCAAATAAGAGAATTATGGAATATCAAGTAGTTCCAAACACAGCATTTTAGACATGTTCTAAAAGAGGAATAAGAAGATAGGCACAGAGCATAGCTACACTCTAACAGTTGCATTCATGGCAATCAACCTTTGGAAGAACTTTGGCAAGCTCATCACATAAATGACTGGGAAAATAACAAATACTTGGAGTTAATATAGATGCTTCTGCCTTTGTACATGATATCGCTGGATGGCTCACTAAGGTGAGTGGGAGGAATTTCTCCATTAGAATGGATGGATAAATAAAAGATTTGGGGGTCTTCAGATCACATGTCATTATGACAGAGAGGAAAATGGCCTCCCTAAAGTATCCTAGCTTTACCCTTAGATGCTACGAATATGTCCCCTTACATGGAAAAAGAGAGGCTGTTTGGTTAAGGTCCCCAAGAGAGATAGAGCCAGGGTGATAGGAATATAAGAAGATCTTTATGAGGGAATTACCTTGCACAAGGGTGGAGGCCCCGAAGCCCCATGATAGCCACTTGCAAGATGGAGAACCAGGCAAACGAGCAAGGTGGCCAAGTCCACATCCCAAGGCCTAATCTGTAACTCTCAGGCAAGGCTGCAGACTCTAGAATCAGACTGGGAGTGTATCAGTATGAGTTTGAAGTTCAGAGCAAGAAGAACCTGGGCATCCAAGAGCAGATGAAGAGGCGGCCTGGCTCTGGGAGGAAGAGTGAACTTTACCCTTCTTCCACTTTTGTTGTTGTTACTGTTTTTCTATCTGGGGTACTATCTGATCAGAGTTCTACCACTGCTGGGGGTAGACTTTCCCTACTCAGTGCAGACCTACAGGCCAGTCTTCTCTGAAAATGTTCCCAGACACATGGGGCCAACCAGCCTTCCCAATCAAATGCCGAACCACCCAAGTTTCCCTTTCTGTAGAAGCGAGACCACCAGCTCAGTGCCTGCTGAGACACAGAGACTAATTAATGCAATCATTGAGAGTAAATAATTCCCTTAATATTCATTGTTCCTTAATTATTATCTCTTCATTTAGCCAGACTGGCATCCAAAAGCAGCCCTCACAAGGACTTTGCAAATGTGACTAAGGTATGGACCCCTGAGATAGGAAAGATTGCCTAGCAATCCGGCTCGACCAGATGAATTGCACGAATCCTTAGGGGCAGAGGTGCAACAGTGCAAGTGGAGCCAAGTGGCTGGCTTTGAAGATGGAGAAAGGAACTGCTGGCTAAGCAATGAGGAGTGCTTTAGAATCTGGAAAGGGCAGTGGAGCAGACCTCCCCTCAAGCCTCCAGAAGGACGGCAGCCCCCCAGCATCCTGATGCTTAGAGCAGTGAGACTTATGTGGGACCACTGAGCTATAAAACTGTCTGATAACACATTTGCTGAGCTTGTGGCAATCTGTCACAGCAGCAATAAAAATGAATACAACCATGGAAGACTTTGAGGCTGTCCATAAGACAGCCTATTGTGCATAGGATGTGATTGCTGGAGCATATTTGCTGCTGAGGTCATGAAGAGCTAACCATGATACATAGACATCTATGGTCTTTATCCCTTCAGAAACAGCCACCATCCCTCCCACAGCCTGGCCAACCCATGGCAGCCCCGAGAGAATGCTGTATGGCTTCATGGTTCTACATGCAATCATCTAAGCACAAAGAATCGGAGGGCTCCCATTCCTACTCTCATTACTTCTACCCAAATCCCAAAAAGTCATGTCCCTGGTAACTTGTCACTAGCTCTTATCCCAAAGGGATATTCTTAGTAAACAACTAAACAGTTCAGGTAGGACAAACAGTTCAGGTAGGACACTAGTGTTTAGTGCAATTGCCACGTGACTTGGAGCATTTATAAACTGAGGATGATACAAAATGTGTAAACTTGAGAACAAAATTACCTCCATTCTCTGGATAGTTTGCACTGCTGGGAAATGCTGACTTGCCTCTTGGCATCACTGAGGCAGAACGTTGCCTCTGGTGATCACATGCAGACTCCTAGATAGCAGATTAAAGTCACCAGGCTTTGTGTTTTCTTGGAAAGGTGTCGGCCTCAGAGTACATCAAATCTTTCACTTCAAGTGGCCTCCTCCAAACATTAGTTAATCTTCACTTGTGTTGGAGCCTCTGGCAGGTAGGCAGAAGATGAAAAACTGTGGCTATTTCATTGCCTTGCTTCTTTTCATGAAGATGAATGGAAAAGCAAATGAATTGAGGGAGTATTACAATATATTACATTTGCAGTGTTTAGGCCTCTTTGCAGAAGCCAATAGAACTAGGGCTTGAAGCTGTATAGATGAAGAGGGTTTGATGTGTTTATTGATTAGAATGAAGACATCAGCTAAAAGAAATTATATTCAGTGATCTGCTGTGGGTTTGGTGTGTGTGTATGTATGTGTACAGCACAAGTGTCCTGTGATATAGGAGAAGTTTCCCTTTAGTTCATGATATTTTTATTGAAAAGATTTATTTGGCAGAGTGCCAGTGGCTCACACCTATAATCCTAGTTACTCAGGAGGCTGAGATCTGAGAATCAAAGTTGGAAGCCAGTCCAGGCAGGAGTCTGTGAGACTCTTATCTCCAATCAAACACAGAATGCTGAAGGGGAATTGTGGCTCAATTGATAGCATGCTAACCTTGAGCTCAAGTGATAGCATGCTAACCTTGAGCTCAAAAGCTCAGGGACAGCACCCAGGCCCTGAATTCAAGCCACAGGACCAGCAAAGAATTGTTTGTTCTTTAGTGTTTAGCTAGCTATGCCATGAGATGGACGTTTGATTTTCAGTCTTGAAGTAAAAACCAGCAAACAAGCAAAATACAGCTAGATAAGAAGAGTAAGTTCTGGTGTTTTATAGGGCAGTGGAGTGATTCCTGTTGAGAGCAATTTACTGAAGATTTCAAAATTAATTCGATGAGAAGAATCCAAGCACATATAAATGCTAAAAGTTCCCTAGATTTAATTATTATACATTGTGAACATGTGTTGAATTATTATGCTCTACCCTACAAATAGGCACATTATGGGTCAATTCAAATAAAATAATAAATTAATGAAAAACAATTTCTTTAAATTCCATCATCTTGACCTCATACCTTTTTTAGTCTCTTAAGCCATGGACTTTATTTGTAGAGTTTGAGTTGATTACGTCATCTTTGTCTGCTTTTGTTCTGGCTGTTCACTGCATCTCTTGTCTGCTCCAGGCATTGAATAAAAGCACAGCATTAAACAACATTCAGACGTAAAGGTTTCTTAGAAATTTCAAAGAAGAAATACTTCTGTTCTTGATTATTTCCATGTCAGTGAGAGAATTTATTCTATTTTTACTAGCCCGATGCTATAAATCGTGTATTAACTACTGAGTGTATTTTTATATACATCCATTCATCCTAAAATTCCTAGTGCTCCCCCAGAGAGTAGTAAAAGGAAATAATTTATAATAGCATAATTAACTTCTGACTATATTTGCAATTACATTTCTGAGTCTCTTCATGATAAGAAAGAAATAATGTTAAATGATTGTGCCCTCTGAAGTATGGAAATATGGTCATATTTTCTCTTTTATGAATGTATTTTATTTATGTCATCAATCTTTTGGAGAGCATTTTTCAAACAGATTTTTTTTGTTTTGTATTTTTCTCAGTGTTAGTATGAAACAGTGGGTAATAGCTAGTTATATGTGCATATACACATATATAACACAACACATAGCAGAGGTTCTAAGCAATGAATGAAGAAATGAGATCCTTTTATTCAATAGTTTAGTCACAATACCATAAAATGTTATTAATAATCTTAATTCACCTCCCCAACATTTTCTGGCTTTGACAAAAAGTACTTGAGGGATAAAGAGAAATCTTGAGTGTGGGGACTGTATTATACAACCTATTTCCCCTACCTAAAACGTTTGTTTATGTCTAGAGAGATTTAGGGTTATCATAGTTTGGGATCCTACTAGAATATAGTTGGTAGGACTAAGCATAGGACTGACATTCTACAGTGAATGGAGTAGCTCCCTACCTCCCACTCCCGAGGCAAAGAATTAACCAGTACAGAATATTGGTGTGCCACAGTTGGGACCCTTGCTCGAAGCCTCTAGCCAGTTGAGCCCACTGGCTGCCCCGACTATGCAGTAATTACACTGGATATCACACACTCATGTCATTTGTTTCCAAGCCTTGAGACCTGTGGGGAGGTGGGGGCCACAGGTAGATGCTGAGCACATCTGCATATATCTGTAGGTTCAAAGTAAATCACAACCTCCCTTTTCCAAGTTACTGTTGAGTTCCCTGATCGTCACCCAATGACTATGTGTCACCTTGTCTGTTATCCATCATAAGATAAATATTCTTGCTGAGGTAATAGAGAAAGACAGACACAGCATATGGTGTCAGCCATTGCTATTTTGGCTTTGGGGAAAGTCCAGGTAAGGTCTTTGCCCAACATGAAGAAGGTATGGCTCAAGGGATAGAGTTTGTATTGGGAAGATAGACAACAAAGGTCCCCCCTCTACATACATGTGAAGTATTCTGAAGTATTCCTATCTATATGGAACTGACTTGGGCTTTTCATATGCAGATCTGAATTATCTCTACTTTGTAGAATTCCATAGGTATGTGCTTTCACTTAGAACCATTATTCTATCCTTCTCACGTTAATTAAGAGGCTTTACATTCCAGTGGGATTATAAACAAAATCACTATATAGAGTCTCTCTTGTTTTTCTGCTCTCAGATTGCATTGGATTTCTTAAAACAGTTTTATAATCTCATTTTTGTTAGCTGTTCTAAACTTGCATACTTGGGCCCTTGTTGGAAAATTTATGCAATTCACTATTGAAATATTTTAATTTAGCTAGGCACTGGGGGCTCATGCCCTTAATCCTAGCTACTCACGAAGTTGAGATCTGAGAACTGTGGTTTGAAGCCAGCTCAAGCAGGAAAATTCATGAGACTCTTATTCTCACTCACAAAAAGCTGGAAGTAGAATTGTGGTTCAAATAGTAGAGTACCAGCCTGGAGTGAAAAAACTTCAAAAAACAGTGCCCAGGCCTTCAGTTCAAGCCTCTCCCCCCCCCCCCCCCCCCGTACCAGTACAAAAAAAGAAAAGAAAACAAAGAAAAAAGGAATCATTTTACAAAGTAATCCATCAGACATCTTGAAGATAAAGAAGTCTTTTGCTCATCAAAGTCTCTGAACTTTGTCTTCAGGTATTTCTGCTGACTTTGAACTGCAATCCTCAAATCTCAGCCTCCTGGGTACCCTTAGTTTCTTGAATCCATAAAATCTAGAAGCTGCAAAAGTTGGAGTGAGAAGGAATATGGAAACATGGAGCAGTAAATAAGTATTCCATGCAGGTGGGATCACATTACAAAATTAAATGGGTGTTATTTTTAATGACAAATTAGTACCTGGTATAAATGTTTAAAATATGGAAAGCATTTCCTAAATACCCATTGGTCAAATTCAGTCATTGTTTTAGATATAAACAGATCAACAGTAAGAGTCCAGCGATGCCCATTTTATTAATAGTAACTCCTTTACAGGAAAATTAATCTGTGATTACATTAAAAGATCCAGTCCATCTATTTCCTCTCTGCTTCAGGCATCCTCATCTGTGGGAAAGCTGGAATGAAAGGCAAGACCAAAGTGACCCAGCCAGGAGACCTGTGCTCTGCCTTGAGGAACACAGGGCTGTGTTGTGCCTGGCATCCAGGCAGGGGCTTCTATCTGCTCAGTTGCTCCATCTCTGAACTGGGCATAATAATAATTACCAGCTTAACAGGAGGGCTGAGTGGATTAATGAGCTAATCTTGTAAAGTGCCTGGCAGGTGAGGAGTTCTTGAGCGATGCTATGATTGTGCTCATTAGTTTCTGTCGACACTGGGAGCGAATCTTAGCAAGGAGACGTGTCATTAATGCAGCAAGTCTTTATGGCTACTCTGATGCTTTCTCATGGGAGAAGAGCTTGGTGCTGCTTTTTGCCCCTGGCTTTGAGGCCCTCTCACTGTGGGTTCATCAGTTTCAGCTACCCAGAATGCCTCCCTCTGTGTTGCCCTTACAGACAACCATCCTGGATGCAGCAATCTCTTAATTAGTTTTGCTTTTCAAGGGCATCCAGAGGTCACAATGAAAGCCAAGTA